CTTCAGTCTCTCACTATCCATTTCTCTTCCTCTTTTTGTTTCCGTCTCAGCTTCCTACATTGTCTGTTCAGCCATCTCTCCTCACTCTGCCTCTTCTCCTTCCTTTTTTGTGCCTGATACTGCCTGCTTATACTAGTGGCATTTTACTGCTTAACTGGTCCCACTGGTTTCTGCTCCAGCGAACAAGTACTTATGCATTATGAGTAAGAAATATAGAATAAGACTGCTAATATCTGAACTCATTTACGCTTGTGCTCTGCATGCCTCCCACAGATGTCAAAGCCCTATTTTGATTAAAATGAAGTCATGAGATAAGTGTGTTGTTAAACCTATTTTACAGAAAGGTTAGGTGAGGGTTGGAGAATTTAAGGTACTTGCTGCAAGGACACGCGGGAAATTAGATGCCAAGTGCTCAGACCACTAGACCTATTTGTCTATCTTATAAACAATTGAGAACCTTAATGAACACGTATTGTTCCTAGTGGCAACTCAATTGGGTATAATCTGTGGGTGTTTCCATTCCAGTTTTGCTGTTTTAATCCCAACATCTCTTGCTTGATTGCAGAGAAGATGCAGAGGCCCCAAAAGCCCGTCTAGTCAAACCAGGCTCCTCTTCTTCTGGCTCCAGAAGCTCACGTTCAGGCTCTTCCTCGACAAGATCAACAGCCAACAGTGCCTCTCGCAGCCAACGGACTTTGTCAACGGAGGCCACCCCTCACATAGCTCCTCCGCGGTACAGCCAGATGGATGCCGAAGGAAAGGAAACGGATCCAAAGAAAGTCAATCACGCAAGCCTGAAGAAAACAGGAGCCAACCCCATCATGGTGCCTGCTCAAAGCCGGGCCTTCCAGACTGTCTGACTGCTTGCCAGCTGTCCTGAGACTCCTGCCTTTCAGAGCTACTGTACACATCACACGTCCTATTTGAAGTGTTAGATTAGCTTGTTATCTTGCAGGTCAGCTTATTTTTAATCACTCGCACCAGGAAGTCCTGACCTTCGACTGTCTACATATTCCTGCACTGAGTTTCCAATACAGTTTTTTAAAAAAGGAACTGAAGCTGAGGGAAAGGGATTTTCTTTTTGAAATTAACTCTTTAAAAAAGGGAGTGTCCAGTCCCTAAAAATACAGCTGAAAAATCTGGAAGTGTAATGTTTTGGGGTCTGGAATCAAACCTCACTTTTTTAAAAAAAAAAAAAAAAAAAGGAGGCTTTCATGGGGCATGGGGTGGAGAGGTCATTTGTACAGATTTTTTAAAGCCTGTAAATGAGCCATTCCCTTGTCATCTGAGGCATAGTCTTCACTGAGGATGGTCCTCAGGTCAGCTTCAAAGGGAATTTAACAACTACTTCAGATTTTTTGCATTTGCCTTGGTGAAATGTTATAGGAAGCTGGGATGTGAACAAAAAGGAAAGCGACAACTTGAACTGCCATTGAGAATCAGCTTTAATGTAAAATTCTGGACTAGCCTTTGTACTGAAGAAAGGTCCCTCTTTATTTGGTGAGAGAAATGCATTAATTGCAAGAGGAAGCTTAGCACTGAATTAATAGAGTTATGATTGTGTTGAAGTAACAGATTCTGATCTTACTAGCACCAGCATACTCTGAAGAGTTGATACACTGATTTCTATGGAATTACATCGGTACACAACTAGTTTACATTAGATCAGGATCAGGATCAGGCCCTGAATCCCAAATAAAGGAGGCCCCTGGAGCAGTCAGACCATGGATCTGATGGTGTGGGAGGGTGCACTTCTGAGTCCTAGGAGTGATAATGCACCACTGCCGGGGTGAGCAGTATTGATGAAACCTTTTGGAGAGTCTTAGGGCTGAAAGAACAAGGTGCTTGGATTGCCTTTCTCCTGTTGGAATAAAAGGCTGAGATGCATTAATAGAAACTTGTGTGAGGGAAGTGCACAACAAATTTAAAACTAAGAGAAGAACAATCTTTTGTGCACAACGCATCTCATGGTGGAAGGCATTGTCACGTACAGTTACAGAAGCTAAGGACTCAGTGGGGCTGCAAAAAGGGTTAGACATTACAAGAAGCATAGAAATGTTATCGGAGATGACATTAGATAGGATAAACCTTTCTAATGGATATAAAGCCACCTGCTTCAACCAAGTAGTGTGTGATGGGGGCTAGGGATAAACTTCTCCCACAAGCAGATTACTCCATAATTGTGCAGCATGGTGTTCTTTGCACTTTCCTTTTGAAGTGCTTGATCTTGGCTGCTATTAGACACCAGATTTGGTACTAGATGGGCCACTGGTCTGAGCCGGTATGAAAGGTCCTACAATTTGTACTCCTACATTTAGGACTGAAATATTGTAACTGGTTTCTGTTCTTTCTCTCACCTGAGAAGGGGAGAGCTGTCTCTGTTCCATGGAAAAAGTCCATATTGGAGACATCCTGGTACTGTACAGAGAAGTAAACAAGTATGAATCTGTAACATACTTTCACTTGAGGGATTATGCTTACCCTTTTTTGTAACTGAGGCCGGGTATTTCAGGTTCTTTAATGGAAACTTGAGAAAAGAATTGCTATTGCTTGTGATTTCCCCAGAAGTATGAAGCCTTGATCAGATGCAAGACTCTGATTTTACTTTCATCAGGCAATGGTGTTTCAAAGACACTTGAGAGTGTCCAGGAGGAATTATACCTGGCCTCTATTCTTTGAGTACCTTCTCCTTTCTAATAGTTCTACTCCCTTCATCCTCACATGCAAAAATGCTCACTTCTCTTATCCCAAATACAAAGTTTCTGCCATCAGTATGGCAACAAACCACTATTGTTACATAAGGGAGTTCCAGATTTAATCATAGAAGTCTATTGGGAAAAGCTCTGATTGCAATACTTTTTGTCAAACTTCTGTTTCCCTGATACAGTGTATAGTGTTGAGAGACAAGGGCTGGCCATTCTTTCTGTTTTTCTTTTGATCTTGTGCCATTGTTTTGACCACAAGGGAGTTTCTGATAGAGCTACCCCTGCATAAACTGGTGGGTGTAGTCATGGTCATCAGCTACTTTGGAAAAAGTAGTTGATAAGTATTTGTGGTTCCCCTCCCTGCATAGAGGGCCTTTCAAAGCATCTCTTAGGTGCCACAAGCCCTCAGGGTGCAGAGCATAAGCAGAACATCTCATGCAGTGCACGGTTTTTATGCTGGCCTTCTCCACAAGGGAGAATTTCACCAAGCAGGTGTTTGCATGGTGTTAGGAGCCTACAGTCTTACCCAGAGTATCTCCAACACATTCTCTAACATTTCTGAGATCCTTTATTTCAAGTAAATGCTGGATCAGACTGCTCACTAGAGAGCTTCATACATGTGTAACCAGTGGTCTACTACCAGAGAATGGAGGTAAAGGATTCATAGTTGAGTTGGCTGAGGTCTAGATACAAGATACTGTACATTCTTTTTGAGCCTTTACTTGATACTCTAGATCTGCCAGCCAAACTCGCCATTATGTAATTAAAACCAGCAAAAGGCTACAGTGCTGCTGTTCCAACCAGGTACCAGTGATCTTACAGGTTTAAAATGAAATCAGCAATGAACCTCATTTAAAATGAAGCCAAAAAAGGGAAGAGCTACCTATTCAAAGGGAACACAGGGAAGTGATTATTTCAGAGATGAGTTATTTCATTTTCAAAGGGATGTTTTCTGAGCTCTACATAGAACAATCAAGAGTTTTAGGAGGGAAATAAGTTATGGCAAACCAAACTCTTTTGTAAAATATTGTATTTGAAGCATTTACTGTTATGCTGTATACCAATTATTACTCTAGTGTAATTACATACAACCTTATGTAGCTTTCTTGATTCAGTGGTTAAACTGAGTTTACTTTTCTCTTCTACCTGCTATAATTGGTGTACTTGTATTGTGTCTGAGCAACACAGAGGAAACCATATTTATTATAGATTCCTTTGAATCAACAATGTAATGGGATTTGGGGTTTTTTGTTTTGTTTTTTTGTTGATTTTTTTAAATAAAGATGCTGAGGTAGACAGACTGCAGTTCAGCTAAACTTGTAATAATGTTCTGTTTGCTAAGATTTTTTTTGTACTATGCACAGTGAGGCAAAGTTCCAAGCGAAAGCTGGAGATCAGAAAAATATTGTCTGCAAACTAATAAGTATTCTGTGTTTACAGTGTTTTAAAACCTGAGGGAAGCCACAATCTCTCTCTCCCAAGGGCCTTTCAGTCTAAATTAGATGCAAGACAAAATATAGTATGTAAATATGAAATAAACTCCTGGCCTCATTGAAACCAAACAGGATATTTTCTGCGGACTTGAGCAATGCAGCCTTTCACTTGCAGGTTTGGGTTAAGGTAGATCTTGGGTATAGAGCACAAATGCGGTTCTCACAATCAAGAGAACCAGGTTCAACCTTACACCTAAGTTTATAAATATATAAACTAAAAGGTTTGCAAGATGACATTAAAACCATTAAAAACTAACCTGATTACTATTACAGGGGTTCAGGCTTTTCCTTTTTCCCTGGATGTTTTATGCAAACGTTTCCAGTTGCAATGGGTATCAGCTCTTTTATCTATTTATTTATTTATTTTGCAGGTCACTGAGGACAACTTGCGGTACAGTTACACAACTGGAAGCAAAATGCAATGCCAAACCAGTTGTTTGATAGGTGTCAGCTTTGCTCACCAATACAGGAAAGAACTGACTCTGCCCTCAGAAAGAAAGGCTCTCGCTGCCTCAGTTTTGGGCCCCTCCTTGCTATGTTGGCACATTTATTTTTCATTTATTTCTTCTATGCAGATTATTTCCTAGCACACAGAGTAGACCAACGGAGTTTTAACATAAAGCAAGGCAACTACACAAACGGTTTCTCTTATAAAATATGAGGAATCACTGAATTTTTAATCCAGGAATAGAAATAAAACTATGTAAATGTACATGCTTTATTGTTAGACTGGGATCTTTTTCCAGGCAAGGACTGCCTTTCACTATGCGTTTGTATGGTGCCTTGCTCAGTGGGGACTGGATCTCTTTGGGCAGGCAGAAGCTGGTGGAACACAAATCTTTAGCAAGAAGAATTAGAAAAATATTCTGTTAAATTTCCCTATTCCTTTCCCAGTTTTGCTTTTAGTTCTGAAAGGTTGAGTTCACTAGGCCCTGGAGTAGGGACCAAGTTTGTTTGTAAAAAGACACTGCGATCAGTCTTTGCAGGGCAAAGTTTCTATGACTGTACTGAATTCCTGTTTCTCTGAATTACTGTAAATGGGCCACCTTTATCAAAGGTACTGACTGCCCTCACCTTCTGGTCTATTGCAGTTCAGTGCTCCTCCCTACACTGACTCATGTTTCTTTAGGTTGCCTTAAACTACCATTAGTCAGCTGTACAAAATACAGTGGATCATCTGACAGCCACTATTCCTTTAATTTCAGTATGCCAATAGCTCTTGTTCTTAGGTATTACAGAAATTCTGCTAATGACAAACTAAAGCACAACAAAGACTCATTGCCAAGCTTCCCCAAAACCTGCAAACCCTTACAAAATAATGCCGTAGACCAAATCCCCCGGTTCTTGTTCAGGATACAGTCTAGCATTGCATGGTGGGGTGGGCAGTTGCAGGACTAAGGGCCCTGAGGGCAATTCAGGGCTCATGTCTGTGATGAAAAGGTGGAGTATTGCCACCCATCAGCATTGTGGAGGTGGCAAATGAGCCCTGGCCATTTGCTGGATCCTGCCGCTTTCAGACAGCTATTGGTAAAGGAAGATAGCAGTGCTAATATGAACACCCCACCCTCACCTCCAACAGTATTATCACCCATGTGCAGGAGTGGGGAATTTCTTTCAACCTTTCTGGGGCCTAGTATAACTATACAAAGATATGCCAGGTTTTGGTCTATTTTTTGCCCAGTCCGTACTCAGCCAGACTCCCAGTGCTTTCAATATGTGGGTTTTTACCAGAAACTGTGAGCCGGCCTGACCTTAGGTAGCTTATGACATCTGCCCCAACATGCAGCCTAAGGCAGTAGGACCTACCGAGGGGTTTGCATCTGCTCACCTTAAATCAAAAGTGCCTAGGGAAGCATGTTGCAAGTTA